AACAGAATCTGTCATTTTATAATGAGTTTACTGAAGGGAAGGTTGGCCTGTAATACAATTTTTTTAAAAGACATCATGCCTTATATATGGGTTGTGGGATTCTGGTAACTAATGTTTGTCCTCTTTTTACTTTTCAAGACTTTTAAAGTGTACTTGTATACATTTCATCATTAGAGGAGTATCGAAATTAATATTTAAAGACAACTTTTATGAAACCAGTAGAATCTTTATCTTTCCATCCTTGCTGACTGTCCTAAGATTGGGTAGAAAATGCATTGTAACAGATACCGAGACAAAGATTGATGTGGTGACATGCATCCATGTCTAACGAGGCACTTCCCTGACTTTTTTCAAGGATCTATAGGGGCCAGACATCATAACCCCCCATCCCATATGCTCCTAACGGAGTATTTGAATTTTTTTTGGAAATAAAGAAGTTTCCTAAAGAGTAAATCAGATGAAAAAGGCATTTTCTATTGTCCTGGCAGAGTAGGTAAAGTACAACAGACATAATGAAGCAGACCAATGAGACGATGCACATCATTGCTATCACTTTCAGAAGAGCTCCGTGCAGTGAAGCAGCGCTGCTGGCAGCCCTTACCTGTGATCCTGGAGGAGGCAGAGGTGGGCGGGGAGCCTGTCAGGGTCTGCGCAGTGAGCGCTGAGATGGGAATATATAGCTCCCTCTTGCACCTCCCACTGCCCAGAGCAGCTGCAATTTCAAGTAAATCAACCTTTGGTTTCTTCACCAGGCTAACCACCAGCTTCCTGAGTGACCGTCACCTTCCTGAGGTGAAATCTCCATGAGTAAAGACAAGAGTATTATTCTTTTCCTGTATTTCCTTTTCAGCAGCAGAAATTGGGTCCTGCAATCCTTTGCTTATAAGAAATATATGTAGCTGCCTTTCTATTACCAATGAGAATATAGTTAATTCCAACTCTTTCCAGTGATCCGAGCCACTACCCACAACCAGAAAGAACTCTTAAAATTCTTACTTCTCTTACACATTGAATGTCTTTAAGGTCACTTCAAATGCAAACAATTAAAAAGCTTATATTTTGTATTTTATGCTCTGAGGGCTTTTCACAGATCAACTTCCTTGCAATTATTCTTTATAACAGGAAACTAGCTTGAATTCTCATCGTAAGAGATATGGACGAGGTTTCTCAGCCATAGATGGAGAAGCAGCATCATCTGTCTTCCCTTAGAGGCTGGACCTTGGCAGTGGTCCTCCCTGTCGTGCCTCTTGCAGCCAAGCCCAGTGTGGCCTGATTTCTGAGGTCAGAGGGAGGTTCATTTCCCCCACAGTGTTAACATGTTCTCAGTGGGAAGAACCATGGATGCCATCAGGAGCCAATTTGGTGGCAGTATTCTCATTTTTACACAAAGGTGTAACAGAAAATAAATTGTTTGAGCTGCAGAGCCACGACATGTCTTTGTCAGTCTGCCCCTGAGCACACCGGCTTCAGATTCTTGGTCTGGACAACAGAGTCTAATGCCTGAGAGATAAAGAGGAATAAGTGTTCCTTCAATGCCATGGTTACGTCTCTTGTCACTAAAGCCTTGGCGTCTTCTGTGTCTGGCATTTGGGTGGAGGAATCATATTATTAACTGTTGACTTTTACTGCGTGGGGTTATCTTCACCCCTTTCCCTTTTCAACACCTTATTGAGGCTGGTCCCTTCATTTTCCCCATTTCACAGTTGACAGAAATGAAACAC